GAGTAATGAATGTGTAAAAGCTGGCAGGAAAAAGGACACGAGTGAGAGATCTTGGGAGTAGAATCAGACAAAAGTTAGCAGAAGTTGTTGTGGATAGGCCAAGTAAAATTATGGAGTGTGATTTGGCTGTTAGGTCATTACTAGTGCAGGGCTCTTTGAGTTGTCCAATGGGTGGGGTCAAATTAGAGGTTAGATGATTGGTGGGAAAAAGGTGGACATCTTAAGTATAGCTATTATTCCAAATAGTTTGTAAATAGAGAGAAACTAGGATATCTGTTGGAGTAATCAAGCCTGTGACAATTCTTGAGGTCCTCCCTGCCTCTGAGAACCAGGTGGTTGAGTTTCACAGCATCATCAGGCTGTGGATGTAGCTGAGAGTTTGACTCAGCTTGGGTATAACTTTAAAGGGAGTTAAGTTTTGCTTGACTTTGTGTTCCTGTTGCATTTCTCTACCTTCCCATATGACTTACATATTTCCTCTTCCCTGTCTGTCCATATAGAGCTCAGATTTGAGAAACTTGGTTCTGAGGCACTGAGAAAATTAGAATCCAGCAAAAGGTGTAACAATGTGTATATGCTTTTGCCACCCATCCACTGAACCACCTGCAACTGAACTCAAATATTTTATTTCCTTCTCTTCCTCCTCCTCCTTTTTTGCTGTGGATAAATTTCATATCACTTATTACTTCAGCGCTTATCCTTTTCTCTTTTGCTGATAGTTATTTCTCTGCTGGATTTTTCATTGTACTTTCATATCTTTTCTCATCTTGTAAAAAAGCCTCTTGGCTTCACATTTCTTTTGCTTCCTTACAATAACACTCTGAAGAGCTTCTGTTGCATTTCCAGTTCCTACTCTTAACCCACTTCAGTTAGGGTTTTGCTTCCATGACTGCACCATAACAACCCTTGTCAGGGTCACCAGTGCCCTCTGTGGTGCTAAACCTAGTTGTTGTCCTCAGTCTTCATCTTACTTGGCCTGTCAGCAGCATTTGATGCTGTGGTACTTCGCTTTTCATTTGTGGGGCTCACACTACCTCTTCCCTTGCTGACTACTGCTTCTTAGAAGCTTTTGCAAATTCCTTCTGGCAGGTTAACTTCCAGGTATTTGAGAGCTGCAGGGCTTTGTGTGCAGACTTCTCTGGCTGTACTTATTACCTATAATGAGCATTTAATTTAGTCCCAGAACTTTCAATGCCCTCTGCTGCTGATTTTTTTAAAAAAAGTCTAGCCTGGCTCCTTCCCCTAAGCAGTATAGTTTTATGTCCAATTATTCATTCACCTTTTCCACCGGAATGAATGATAGGTGTCTTATTTTTGTCATTGCTGAGACAAAATACCAAACACTAAAGTTAAAGAAGGAAAAGTTTATCTTGGGTCACAGTTTGTAGAGCTTTAAGTCCATTGTTAGCTGGCAGGGTGGCATGGCAGAGGGGTATCAAAGAATAGAAAGAATTCATAGCAGGCAGAAGGCAGCAGGCAGCAAGCTACAAGTAAATAGCAATGACCCTCTTTCTGTCCCTTATATCCTATCCAGACTACTCACCCTTAGGACAGGTTGTACTCACACCTATTGTGGGGCAGCCTTAATCTAGGTTTGCACATTAATCTCAGCATCTTATCTTTGATCCAGCATCACACACCCTAAATCCATCCACCTTTGAAAAGCCCCACCTGTGACCTCATGAGGCTTTAGGGGATTATCTAGAAAGAATCCATAATAATAGGTATTTCAAGTCAACAGTGCTTATATGTCCTCAAACTACTTTTGTAATTTTTTCTGAGTCAGGAAATGGCAACTGTCTTTCTGGTTTCTCAGGATGAGCACTTTGTGTTCATCATTGCAAATCTTGTCAGGTCTGCCTTTAGAACAGACCCAGAACTGATCACTTCTCAGAGCTCCACTGTGCAGGTCTGAGTGACATCTCTTTTGGATTGCTGCAGTACATTCTTCTGTCTCCCTGCTTCTGTCCTTGTGCCTTCTAGCTATTTACTGTATAACAGCTAAATTGAGTTTTTGTCCCTGTGTCTGATCATTTCACCCATGTTCAGAACCCTGTAGTGGATTCCCATCTCACTCAGGATCAACTCCAACACATTAGTCACAGTGTGTGAGAACTAGCATTGGTACAGAGTCCCTTGTGACTGGGCTCCTGACACTCCCTGTCCTACTCAGTTCTTCCCTCTTAGTGTGTAAATACTCCATAGAGGAGAGCTGGAGCCATTGCTGCCTCAGACCTGTGGCTGTCCTGTCTTCTCTACCACACTCACTTCCTCCTCGAGGTCTGCATGTCTTGCCCTCTTCTCTCACAGCTCTTTCCATAGATGTCACCTTTTGGGTGAGGCATGCTCCCTGCTGCTGCTATACTGCCTGCTGTCCTGCAGTAGCCATCATTTGTCACTGTGACTTCATTATTTATGTCTGTTTATTCTGTATTGTTATTTCTCCCTCTGGAATATGCACTCCATGAGGGCAGTGACTTTGTTCTCTGCATGTCTCCACTTATAAGAATGCACATTTCTGATGAGCACACAACAAATAATTCTTGAATGAATGCATTTCAGTCAGCCTCTGTCATACATATTAACCTTGTCATCTACTCTCTCTGACTTGATCCTTGTAATATACTGTTTTTCTGCTCCGTCTTCTTTCCATTGCTCTTTGGCCTTGCTTAGACTTCCATTACATTGTAGACCATTTCCTCAGTTCTTTTTAGTTCATTTTCCTCAGTTCCTCAGAACTATCCTCAGTTCTTTTTAGAAGTCCCCCACTATTTACATTTCTGTACCAACAGCACTCTCTTGTCCAGGCAGTGTTCTTAGGCTTCCCAAGCAAGTGGGCTTGGATGCTCTTGGCTCTAGTCACTGTCACTATTGTCTTGTCATTTTCCCATGTATTCTGGGAGAATCTTGACAGGCAGCTCACAGACCTCCCTCCATTCCTGCTAGAGGGGAAAAGGTAATCTAGCCATTTGCCAGATGATGTTATTGTACAGTGAATGTTTACTTCCTAGGTCCAAAGTCTTTCTCAGGTCTAAGGCCATTAGCTCATCCTCAGAAATCTACACTTGAAGTGCTCTCTGGAATGTATATTTGACAGTCTTCAAAAAATTTTGCCCATGGTCCATAAACTCTGGTGAGTCTTTATTTGTAGCATATGTGGTCTTTTAATGTAGTAAGGTCTTCTGTTCTTTGACCTATTCTCTTAACCCCCACCTTCCCACCCTGTACCGAGGATTGAGCTCAGGACCTTATGCTTGTGAGACTGGCACGGCGCTGTGCCCTGACCTATTCTGATTTGCTGTTCTTTAACCTATCCTATTTTAGGGGCTGGGGATTTGGCTCAGTGGTTCCACTGCCTGCTTGGCAAGCACAAGGGTTCAAGTTTGATTCATGGTACCAAAAAAAAATTTCCCTAACCTATCCAATCTTGCTCAGATCTGATAGAAATAAAATGCAACTTAAATACTATGATTTAAAAATGGGCAGAGGACCTGAATAAACATTTCTCAAAAGAAATATAAATGGCTAGTAGGAATAGGAAAATGTATTGAACATCATTTATCAGTAGAATGAGATATTACCTCACACCTGTTAGAATGACTGTTGTCACAAAGACAAAAGATAAAAGTGCTGGTGAAGATGTAGAGAAAAGAGGGAGCCTTTGCGTATTGTTGGGATTGTAAATTTGTTCAGGCATTATGGAAAACAATGCAGAGGTTCTCTCAACCCCCCAAATAAAAAACAAAACTAGTAAATGATCCACCAGACCCACAACTGGGTACACATCTAAAGGAAATAAATCAGTGTGTCAAAGAGATGTTTGTATTTGGATGTTTACTACAGCAGCATTCAATCTGGTGTTCGTTAGTGGGTAATGTTTAAAGAAAGCAATGTAAATGTCCACTAGTGGGTAATAAATGGGTGAAGAAAATGTGGTACACACACACACACACACACACACACACACACACACACAATGGAGTACTCTTCAGCTTTAAAAAGATAATGAAACCCTGTCATTCGCAAAAGTATGATTGAACTTGTAGGATATTATGCTAAGTTAAATAGGCCAGGCATAAAAGGTAGTACAGCATAATATCATTTCTGTGTAGAATCTAAAGAAGTTTTTGTGTGGAACTCCTAGAAGTAGAGAATAGAATCATAGTTGCCAGGGGCAAGGGTGAGAGCCAGAGGATGGAGTAGAAACTAGTAAAAAAATAACATTTCAGTGAGACTGGCGGTGGGGAGGGAGAGGAGTAAGTTCAAGAGGTCTACCATGCTGCAGCATGCTGATTACAGCTAGTAATGGTGTGTGGTATTTTGAAAAAAAAAAGTTAGATTTTTAAGTGTTCTCATTACAGAAAAGATAGTAAATTATGTAATATGCATGTTAATCATTAATTAGCTAATTGAGCCATTCCAGGATGTATGCAAATTTCAGAACATCATGTTGTATACAGTAAGTATATGCAGTTTTTACTTGTCAGTTAATTTAAAGATGGATTTCAACTTTAATATTTTGCAGGATCCTTTGTTCAACTGCTGTATATTTTGATATATGGTATATGTATTGAAAAATGATTATATTCCCTCCCCTGGCTGATTTGTGATACCTCTGTTGAATTTTTATGCAGTAGAATCTGTTTTATTTATGTCTGCTTTTGGTGTCAGCACACTGTTACTGAAGCTTTCAGTATGTTTCATTATGTAGTAAGGGTAATTTTTTTTTCCAGAATTGTTAATGGTCTGGTTCTTTATACTTCCATGTGCTTTTGAAAAACCTTTTATCAAGTTATAAAAAGAAAAGTCTTCACTGGGTTTTTTTTTCTAAAAGAGTATTAAACTGGGCTGAGTTCACATAAATTAATATTTTATCAAAACTTTTATGTTTTAATAGTTTAAGTCTTTTTTTACTATGAATACCAATAATATATCTTCTATTAGTTAAAAAGGCAAAAATGTAAATGATCTGCTAATTTGTTTTATTTCAGATATGTTTTCTTCTTTTTGCTGTTCTTTATATTGTTTCCTACTTTATCATCACAAGATACAAGAGAAAATCAGGCAAGTAGACATGTTTTAATTGCAACTTTTATTATAGTGTCCCATGTTTTAGACACAGTATAGTGACTGTGTCAGTGTATTTTAGAGTGGTAGTGTATTGAATATATTGGTGATTGAAACCAACAGTTGTCTGGTACTAAGAATACTAAAAATAACTTCCAGGTTATTTGACTTCTTGAAGGTTCACTTTCTTATACTGCAGTGTCCTTGTTTATCGCAGTTCTGTGTCTAACTAAGAATAGTGCTGGGCAATTTAGTATCTGGGAAGTTCCAGAGTTTATGAGGATATTTGGTTCCTTCTGACTGGCTCTCACTTTTGACCCCACACATCCCTTTTCTGACTATAAGACTACCTTTCTCTACAGCAGTGTAGAATTTACAGTCTTCCCAATAGTCTTGATACTCAATTATATAGTATACTTTTATTATTTTATATTATCCCAAGCTATTCAGAAAGACCATTATATATCTTTCTTCCTCTGTCTTTATTTGATTTTTTGAGATAGTGTCTTGCTATGTAGTTCAGGTTGGTCTTGAGCTCACTGTGTAGCTCAGGCTCGCCTTGAACTCACAGTGATCCTCCTGCCTCAGCCTCTCGAGTTTGTTCTTTTTAAACAATGAACTTTGTACTGATTAACAGATTTTTTTTTCAGCTTTAATTGAGTTTATTGGTACATTTTAGGGATACAGTACAGTTACATTCATTGTTGGGATCTTGTACCTCTACATGACAAGTCTTGATTCTCATTTTTTCCCCTTACCTCTGCCCTCCCTTCACCCCCTCCTGATTAACAGATTTTTAGGCCAGTGTTTTATAAGAATCAAAGCAATGTTTTTTCTAAGCTCAGCTATTTTCTAGGAATCACAAGATTTTCTACCTGTGATGCTGAGTTGGTAGTAGATGCTGTATGATGCTTAAGAGTTCTATGTGTTAAGAATTTTTTGCTAGTATGTTATTATTTTAATTACTATTGAACTTTTGAGACAAATAAGGAGATAGTTCTTACTCTCGTGTATCACTTTAGTATTACTAGTGTATGTGCAGTGAAATACTAATTGGATTCTGTAATCTCTCAAAATTTTGAACATCTGAAGATCCAAGCTATTTTAAAAGAATTTTAGTATAATTTCATAGATTATGGGCACAGAAGGAGGGGTTGAGAGTGAATGAACAAGAAATGCTCTGTTTTAGGGATGACTGGATGATGAACAGGAATATTGGAGATTAATGAGATGATTTCTTTTTATGCTAATCCCGGTGTGGTAGGAGTGAGGACCCTGGGCCTAGTTGGTAGTAGAATTGAAGTGGATATGAAGGTAAAACAGTCTTTCAAATTTAACAGTTGACTGGATATGGGCACAACAGCATAAAAATCATGTCTGTGTTTTGTGGTCACTTTGGTTATAAAGCTGTTTTGGGCAGCCTGTAATTAAGAATAGGCCCTGGACTAGCAAATAGCCCAGGTACACCACCGGCACTGAGGCAGAAGGGTACCCAGAACCTAAGGAGACCTAAGGAGAGAGCCCATGAGGACATTAAGTATAGGAGGTGCAAGAGGGTCATGGAGTATTTTCAGTATTCGTGTAATTGTGCAAAGGCTCTTTGGCTGTAAGTTTATGTGTGTGTGGGGTTCAGAATAGATATGATGGCTGATAGGCCTGAGAGAGAGGGAGAAGGGAAGGTGAGTGTCAGAGTGCAGCTGTGTGCTTCTTAAAAATGATACAGAAACTTGATAATTTTCTGTCTGTATCTTGAAAAATAATTCTGAATTATTGAGGTGGTAGTATTGAAGGTAGTATAGGATATTCAAGAGAACCTTATTATTACCATTACTAATGACAAACTCAGATTAGAGAAGACTACAGATTTTAATTTTATAGTAAAAACTTTTGTTGGGTATTAGAGAATTTCATTCATTAGCAGTTTTTATTTAACAAGTTTAACAGTATACCTCATATTGGTCGTAAGTGTCAACTGAGTCTTATTTTCTTGATTGAATATTTGGAAAATTTTAATTTATATGTGGTAATCAGGACTAAAAAAAAAAATCAAAGCACTTCACTCTCTAATTATATACTGTCCTACCAGATTTAATGAAATTTAAAGTGAAATCTTTGCTGAAATAAACACAATACTCTTTAAAAGTCTTTTCCATTCACTAATTGCTTTTTAAAGTTTATATTATATTTTAAAATAAATCAATGAAACATCAGAAGATAAAAGAATATTAATACTTTAAATATTTTTGCAGATGAACAAGAAGATGAAGATGCCATAGTCAACAGGATTTCGTATGTATTCTCAAATTTAGTTCTATTTCTTTTTTTCTGTACTAGAGATTAAATTCAGGACCTTGCTCTTATGAGGTGGGTGCTCTGCCACTGAGCTAAATCCCCAGCCCAATTCTTCTATTTCTATTTCTGAAGTTAGATTTGGAAAACTCAATCTAATTTTGGATGGAAATATAAAACAAGTCTCCAATAATTTTATCAATATGAATCCTATTCTTCAAAAGCACATATAAGGAAATAAGCTAGTATAATCAAGCATTGATTATCTCCTATTAAACTTTATGTAGTTAAGGAGCTGTCATTTTTATCTTCAGAGGAGTTAATGAGGAAATGGGCTTGAGCTTGGGGAAAGTCTGCATTGTTTGAGTTGTCTGCTGAGAAGGCTGTGGCTGAGGTGAATACAAAAAGCGTTACCCCGTGAGCTGCTGCAGAAGTTGCTTTTCTGATGTTCCATTTCCTCATATGTAACTCCTATAAGCTGTGCACTCTCCTGTGGATCTGCCCTATAGCCATCAAAGTAATGAAGTTTGCTTTGTGCAGTGTATGGTTACCAGTTGTCCCAGGAGTGCCCATTACGGCAGAAGGGTTGTTTCAGAAGCACACACTGCACTTAGTTGTCATGTCTCTTTAGTTTCTCTCAGGTGCAAACACTCCCTCAGTATTTTATTGATTTTGCTGACCTTGATACTTCCTAAGGTTATTGGTCAGTTATTTGGTTTTGTCTGGTATTTCTTCCTGGTTATCTTCAGATTATGCCTCTTTTGTGGAGGGGAGAGGAAAGAAGCTGAGAAAAGGGGAGGAGAGAGAAAAAGATCACATGTACTTACACACACATACACATGCATCCACATGTGGTGGAATAACATTCAGAATGACATTCTTCATAAAGAGAAGTGGGGTACTTATATGTGCTGTAGTGTGGATGTCTTAGTTACTTTTCTCATTGCTGAGACAAAATACCCAACACCCACAAGTTAAGGGAGGAAAGGTTGATTTGGCCCATTGTTCATAAAGTTTTCAGTCTGTAGTTGGCCAGATGCAAAGCAGGGTAGCATGGCAGAGGGGCATCCATCACAGAAGACAAGCAGCAGCAGCAGCAGCAATAAATGACAAGCCATGACCACAGCTCGTTTTGTCCTTTGTATTTTACCCAGGCTAGCACTTATACCCTTAAACCCAGTTGTGATTGTGAATCAACTCCAGCATCACATCTTTGATCCCACCAGCACAAATCCTAGGTCCAGCCACCTCCAAAAATTCCCACCTATGACTGCTGAGGCTTGGGGGGGGGCATCTAGACATAAGCCATAACATGGAGGAACTGCAGAAATATCGAAGCATACAGGAAAAGCCTCATGGTGTAGCACTCTTTCTGCAAGAAAGCTGCAGTACAGAGACAGCATTTAAAAGTACACTGATGGTGCACGTGCTGAGGTGGAAGGGGAATAGCGGATGGCTGCTCTATGGGTTTTTATCTGGTGGTGATAAAATGTTTTTGGAACTAGAAAGTGTTAAGAGATTGTAAAACATTGTGAATGGACTAGATGCTACTGAATTGTTCACCTAAAGATGTTAAACTTTATGAAATGTGAATTTTACCTCAGTGCAAGAATAAATAGTTGCAGATAATGACTTGAATAGGCTTGGTTTAATTCATCACTGAAATATGAATATAAACAGATCCTACCTGATTAGATTTGATCATTTAAATTATTTTAAGTGCCCTAGGGTAGTTGGATAAGAAATAAAAACAATTGTAACTTCACACTGGAAATTCTCATTCTGTGGGTTTAAAATTGGTGCAAAAATTGGTGTTCTAAATTTATAAGATTAGCCGGAGTGGTGGTACCTGCCTAAAATCCCAGCATTTGGGAGGCTGAGGCAGGAGGATCAAGGCCAGCCTGAACTGCATAGTGAGACCTTGTCTTAAAAAACAAAAACAAAAACAAAATTACAGGATTAGGGCATTTTAGTTTTGTTTGTAGCCTGGTGATATATGTGCAAATTCTTAAGTGGATCATCATGATTCCTCTATGTAAATTACTGCTCCTGTAAAAGCAATATCCTTTTCCTTTACTTAGAAAAAAGCCACCTAGGGGGAGGTCTGGTGTGGGCATCAGAGCTCAGTGAAAAGGGATGTCCTGGTGGCAGATAGTCGAGAATGGGAATCACCTGAACAGGAGGTGTGAGGCTGAGTCAGTGTGATAGGAGATTGAATAGTTGTGTGGAGAGTGGATTCATTAAGAAAATGGGAACCAGGTACAATCAGGAAAAGGAGAGAACAGAAACACTGAGTTATTGGGTTAGAATTGAACATATCAGCACAACTCATGGTTTTTAACATCTGGAGAGTCACAGAACTCAGTGTAGAAAAGTATGTGTGTGGGTATATGTGTGTGTCCTGTATGCAGCGCACTTACACCCCTGGCTCTGCACAGCCCCTGGAGCACTGGCAGGCATAGCTTCCCAGTAGCCCTCAGAGCTCCATGTCCAAACACAGCCTTCCACTGAATGGAACAAGGCTTCTCAGAGAAGAGGCTGATTCCAGGGCTGCATAAGGGAAAGGCCCAAGCTAATTTGTTATGCCTGGTGGTACAGAACACAGGTAAGTGCTTACAGAATGGGAGGGATATATTGAAAGGAAGCTGAATCCTTAAGGACTCTCATACCAAACGGGGGACACCTTGAGCATCAGAATACATAATTACAATGGATTATAACCCACTGGGTGCAGTAAAACAATCTTGAGTCTATACTAATGAAATCAGTAAACAGATAAATTGAAAGTTTGATAAGAAGAGGCTATTTTCCTCATTTTAAACTTTTCTTCTCACAGAATACTAATTAAAGAGCAGAGCAGCTTCAGAGTAGAAGTGTTGGCCAGGGGTCAGAGCTTCTAAGAAGCTGCTGCAGAAACAGAGCTGAGGGGCATGAGATAGTTTGGCAGGAGTGAAGAAAGAAGAGAGGGTCAGTTGGGCACGCAGTAATCCTGAGCTACTGTAGGCCTATAGGGAGGAGCTGAGGTGGTGCTTCTGTGATGCTCCTGCTTGGTGGACGTGTCAGTCTCCACATGTCCTAACTGAGGCCCTGATTTCCCCTTCACTGTGCTCCATTGGGGCTGCCTCTCAGGGATATCAGTCCTGCTTCTGGATCAGGCCCAAAGCCTCAGAGTCACCCTGTCCCTCCCTCCCTCCTTCCCTCTCTCCTTCCCAGGCCAGGAGTCCTGTTGGTTCTGCCTTCAGGATCTGACTGATTCTCTTCTGTCTCCACTGTTGCCACACTGGCCTGTACTCTGTTGTCTTGTCTCTGTTGCTGCAATAGCTTCTTGGATGTTTCTTTGCTTCTGTCCTTGCTTATGATCCGAACAGCAGCCAGATCATGCCCCTCTTCTGCTCAGAGCTCTACAGGAGCCAAAGAGACAGCTGCAGTGCTCATGGTGGCCTGAGGCATTGCATGATCTTCTCCATGGTCATCTGGCCCTTCTTTGTTACTCAAGTCCAACCACTCCACGAGCTGCATGTGCTTTCAACCTGTTTGCCCAGAGTCCACTTTATCAGCTGTCCCATTCTCTCATCCACTTCAGTTTTGGTTTTGCTTTGTTTTGTTTTTTTTCTAAATCTCAACTTTTCAGTAAGCCCTACCCTGACTGCCATACTTACTATTGAATCCATATGTCCTCATCCCCATCTCCGGTCCTCTTTACCTTGCTTCATGTTTCTGAGGCATTAATAGCCTTTATTATACACTCACACAGTATTTCATTGTTTATTTGCCGAGCTGTCCTGCATTGAACCCCTGTGAGAACAAGAATATTTGGTTGTATTGTTCACCATTCTAAAGTGCCTTCAACTTTAGTTCAGAATCCTGGCGTGGAGTCAAGGACTCCATTGCATCTCCCTGGTGAATGAGTACCACCAGAGACTTGCTGAGTCAGGGTCTTTGGTGTGTGTGCTCACAGAAGCCCTGGGGTGATTCTGATGGTGCTAGTGGTTAGTGCATGGTAGTTTTGATGGTGTGCTGGGCACTGGCTTGTTCTGATGATCCTACTGGTGAAGAACCACTGATTGAGAGTGAGGGATTGGGAGCCTAACTCATACAGCCTATGTTTAATGATTAGCTAGCTGGAGACATCAGCATTTTACAGATGAGTGGAGTCTTACACTGAACTTTCAGGACAGAGGAAATGTTGCAGAAGTTGAGGGAAGAGTTTCAAGAAGGAAACAGAGCTTGTGACCTTGAAATAGAAGGTTAGGTTCAGATTGCAACTGAACAATATCTGATGAATTTGTTCACAAGAGGAACCTTTTCACCACTATAGTGAGGAGCAGAAATCCTAGTGCAGTGAGTTAAGATAGATGTTGATATGGAAATAAGATATGATGTGTAAATCTATTTAGGAAGTTTTTTTTTGTTTTGTTTTGTTTTTTTTTTTTTTCTGGTAATGGGGATTGAACTCAGGACCTTGCACTTGCGAGGCAGGCGGCAATACCATTGAGCTAAATCCCTGATCCTCAGGAAGGTTTTTGAAAAGCAAAAATTCCTTTTTTTGAGGAAGTTTATCCTCTGTCAGAAGCTAGAGGAGAAGGAGACATGGAAGGTTAAGATTGTGGTAGGGCTGGGGATTTAGCTCAGTGGTTCCGCCACTGCCTGCCTTGTAGGCACAAGGGCCCAAGTTTAATCCCTGGTACAAAAAAAAAAAAAAAAGACTGTGGTCACCCAGCAAGGTGCTTGGCTCCAGCAGGGGTAGCTGTGGCAGGAGAACCAAGGTATCCACTGGTACACCTGTCTGGTCATGAGTATAGAGGGAGCTTACCTTTCTTTTTCCACTCAGGTATTTTCTGGGGTTGAAGAGCTATGGAGCCATGGTAAAAAGCTTGAGAAGAGCCTGATGATAATGATCAAGAACAGGAATAGAGAGCCAAGATACAGGGCCTAGCATTTTGCCAACTGAATGTATGTCATGGCTTTGTGGAAAGTTAGTGGATGTTAAAGGTGACCTGGTTTTAATTCATTATCATTTTGCAAAGATACTTTATGGAGTGATCTGGAGGTGATGGCTCTGTTGATACTAGATACAGTCAACATCTAAGAGTAGGCCTGCACTAGCTCATGGAGATGAGAAGCGTTTCCTTCCTGGTTGGACTAAGGAGATAGTCACAAATGTCAGGTATTTGGGAGACACTTTAGTTTTGCTGCCACCACAATGGCAAAAGATGTATTACTCTGAAGATGTAAGTTTTATAAAATAGTGCTCTACTTTAGAAGGTGACATTTCTGAAACTGTCCTTCAGTTCTGAAGGGGCACTTTTCTTCTGTACTGTGCTCTACTACTATGCTTTTAAAACTCAAGTCCATATTTTAAGCACCCTCTGCCAGCATTAACTCCATTGTGTTTTATGATCTTTCTGGCATCTCTGGGGTCAAACACAGCAACTAAAGTGGAACAGATTCTAGTAGCTTTTGCTGAAAAGCAAGCATTATAGTTACAGTAACCATGTATTTAGGATTTTCTGGTCACTTCTGACTTGTCCCATACACTAACTTTTTGTCAGATCATAGGATCTGGTTTTTGATTTGGAAACTGTTGGCCTTCGTTGCCAGATATGTGAGAAAGTGAAGAGGAGAGAGGAGCTAATTTACTGAGAGGAGCAAGAAGGTGAAAGCTAAGGAATGCTTCACAGAGCAAATCGCTTTGGAGGTTTGCTGGAAGTTTCTGCATGAATGTGCAATGCAGAGTATGTGGAGGGTACCCTAGGGAGAGAGCACCCCATGCAGAGAGACATGGGACCCTGAAGATGTATTTGATGTTTAGGAAATGGGGAAGGTAGGAAAATAAGTTTGTACCAAAATGTGTTCCAGTCATGGAGAATGGAAAGGATACTGGGATAGCAGTCCAGGGCTTGGAGTAATGGGAGTTTGGATTTGATTCTGGCTTGGGCATTGGAAGGAATGATAGTGATCTGGATAGCCTCCTCATTGTCTTGGAGAATGTGTTCAGACCACCACCCTCAGAACTGGGCCTGCACCAGAGACGGAACCTGGCCCTTGCTTTTCTAGGACAGGTGGTGTCCTCTCAGCAGAACTGATTCCTAGCACTTCCTTCTCTCTGATTTTCTGAACACACAGGAGTTTTCAGGGTCCTTTGGCTTTTGAATAGGAATACACTTCTGTTTATTGCCACAAGATGGCATTGGCCTCAAAGTTACTCTAGTATTTTAAGCATCCAGTGTGATTTCCTTTTGCTCATTTTTAGATTATCTTACATTTATTTTTACATTCTTCCACAATTTGGAGGAATGGATATTAAGATTTTATCTCTAAAGTTAGTGAAGTTTTCTTTGCCATTTTATTTCTTTAAAATGTTGTTAAAAATTAGTATTTTCATAACATTTAAAAAATTTCAGAAATGAATAACTGAAGAAGTGAAACCCCCTTATAGTCCCACTGTCCTGTGGTTGGGACTGTTACATGATATGCTGAATTTTTTGTGTGCTTCTCTTTTCCTAATTATACACATGCTATGTGGGGTGAGGGGAGCATGTTTTATGATTATTGCCCACATATTCAGTTGGATTTGTTGACTTCATATATTTTAGATATTTTCATATTTGAGCTATCTTAGTTTTTAAAATGACAAAAGTATCATTTGTAGTGTTGTTTTAATACTGTAGTATTGTTAGTAGTTCCCTGCCATTTGGTACTGTTATTTAACCTTAACTCTTTTTAAGAGCTATCTGGCCATCAGCTTCCCCCTCAACCCCTCCCTATAGCCATTTCATTTATTTATTTACAGGATTTTTGTTTTTTACAAATAACAATTTTAGCATTGCTTATTGAGCACTTATATTTTATTAACATGTATTAGTTGTATATATTAATGGTGTTCAGTGTGATATTCCAACATGTGTAAAGCATGCACTGTTCCACTGGGAGTAATTGGCATTTTTCTCTCCTTGTTGTGAAGTAACCATTTTAATTAATTTGTTTTCCATACTGATTTTTTCCCATCTGAAATAGTTGTTGCATTGCTGTTAGCATGCATTGTTAAAATTGTTAATTCACTGCAGTTATAGAATGAAAACTTAAAAGAGGAGTGCACCACTGTTGTAGAATGTGTGAAGAGCCATACCTTCAGCATGAGTGTCTTCTAGTTTCCTTGTGAGAGTTAATGGCCTTGTCAGGGAGTTGGGGTGTGAGAGTTTACACAGTTCATCTCTGGTATTACTTCTGATCCGATGTTTCCCAACTGGATATATTCAATGAGATTCTGATATGCTTTTTTGATTAAAAAATTGGAAGAGTTTGTGCTTTTTGCTCTGTTTCCATGTGCATTGCTTTTCCAGACATGAGTGACCATGGCTTTTCTTTCTTCCAGGTTGTTTCTGAGCACCTTCACTCTTGCTGTTTCAGCTGGGGCTGTTCTGCTTTTACCCTTCTCAATAATCAGCAATGAAATCCTGCTGTCTTTTCCTCAGAACTACTATATTCAGTGGCTGAATGGCTCCCTGATACATGGTTAGTATATGCTTAATACAATCATGATTCATATTTTAATTTTTTTACCACACAGTATTTTTGATTTTTTTCTCCTTTTAGTTTCCTTCATAGTTACAACTTTGTCCAGTAAACTTTTGGGATACTTAGTAGAGTCAGAAAATGGGATTTGACTTATTATTCCTGTTATTAGTTGTGAAGACTTATCTCTCACTTAAGCAGTTTTTAGATTTGCTATGATATTAACAATACATTTTCACATAAATTCTTAGAAAGAGAATTTGGTTTATCTGGTTATATCAGAAGACCTCACTCTCCATTGATAACCTGGAGAACCAGAGTCCATAGTTCCTGTTCAGTTTTCTATTAGGTTCCTTCATCATTTAAAAACATATAACAGAAGGAAAAAAACCACTCTATCAAGTACAAATATTAATGTGATTTAAGAAAAATAATGAATGATTTAGTGTAGATAAGAAGCTTTATTACTTTGAAGCCAAGTAGTCCTGGATTCCAGCTTTAGCTCAGCTATTCTGTATCACACTGGGGAATCATTGTCTGTATCAGTTAGGGTCCAATAGTGGAACAGATTTAATATAAAATATATATGGTATATAAAAGATTTACTGGATAGGCTTACAATGACCACCTGCAGAGTCAGGTATGGAAGAAAGCAAAAAGGCTGCCTGCATGCTGGAGATCCAAAGAATCAAGTGAAAAGTCTAAGGCCTGGAGCTCACTTCAGAGTCCTGTGTAAGTTCATATCAGGAAGCTGAAGGGTCTGCACCAGAGGCTGAAGAGTCTGCACAGGAAGTGCAGAGACAGATACCCAAAGGTGATGGTGAAGACCAGAGCTCCTCCGAGGAAGCAGAAGTGAGAATTCCTTCTTGCCCTTTTAATTCATGCAGCCTACAAACCTATTGGTTGGTGCCTCCCACACCCTGGGTGGGTCTTCTGTCTTGAGTAAGTCCATCATCCACACACTGCTAAGCCAGTCAGCAGGGCATTTCTTATTCATGTTGACACTACAGTTAGCTATCATTGTGTCTGATCTCCATTTCCTAGTCTCTTAGTATCAGTAAAACTCACCTTACAGATTTCTTTTAAGAAACATACCTAATATAAATGTCTCAATAGGTATTTAGTAGGTAGTAATTATTATAGTTATCTAGGCTGGGATAGTTTCTTATTCTTTCTGAAGAGATTTACTGTTTTTTATGTACTAATTTAGTTCAGATACACTGAACCCTTCACACTTAGAACATGCTGATATAATTCTTTTATAATTATCTGTTAGCATTGATTATAGCTTTCGGAATTTTTATATTGTTCTTGTTCATTTTGCCCCTACAGTCCCCATTTTGTTAGTATTAATTTTTGTGGATGGTTACTATACATGTTAATAGTTATTTTATGAGTGTCATTAGTTATTGGTGTTATTAGTTAATCATTAATGTTATTATAGATGTGTAATTTGATACATATATGGTAAGTTAGATACATTTTTTTAAACATCAGAGACAAGTGACAAAAATCAGGACATTTATATATCCAGATATTTTCATATGGACCCAAATCATCTTTCCCTATACTGATGAAGAAACATTTTAGCATAAGTGAAGGCAGTGTTTTTGTGAAATTTAACTTGAAAAATAATTCTAGTATTTACTATGTATTTCAATTACTGCATGCCTTATTTTTTGCGGTACTGGGGATTGAACTCAGGACCTTGCACTTGTGAGGCAGTTGTGGCATCACTGAGTTAAATCTCTGGCCCTGCATGCCATTTTTAAAGGTAAAAGATTTCTGGTAATTTTTTTCTTTTTTGAGTTAATGAAAATATACTCCTTTAACAATACTTAGCTAACTTGCCATTTGACCTAGAAAAAATATATCTGTAGTGTCTTGTTTCTGTTTAATTTATAGTATAGGTTATTGAATTTGGAATTCCAGCTTTGTTGTAAAGAAGTAGAAGAACTTGCCTGTGTGGTATGATCATGATTCACTACTTGGGTTATGAAAGGCTTTGCTGCCTTACAGTGATGTAACTTCTCTTTCAGGTGATTCATGTTCTTGATGCAATAATCCAAGAGAGTAGGGTAATGTTTTCCATGCCGGCCAGTGTTCTTGGAAAACATTTCAGTAGCTGTAACATGAGCCAGATGCAAATGTGTATTAACTAGTGGTCTTCAAAGATTCTCTGATTGACCAGTGGAATGGGACCATTTAGTTTTCCAATGACTTAGTACATGGATTTTTTTCAGATCTGAAATAGAGAGTGGCTGAGTTGTCCCCGAGGTACTCAGTGGCTCACTTGTCTTTGTGCAGCACTTAACTGTGTGTCTGTTGTTGGGTACCTAGAGGGCTTTCTGATTGTAATTACTATTTGGGTTCTGGTAATTTCCTTAGATGATAATTAGGATAAAAAATATAAGGCTAATGAATATTTGTGCCAAAATATTTTCTAGAATTATCTGTTTATATTCTAACAGAGGATGAAGGTGACTTTTGGCTTTATCAACAAACTCAGCAATGTTGAATATCAATGTTTTTAAAATGTTTGGATTGGTTTCTCATTTTCATTAAAAAATTTTTAATGTGGTAGGATATTTTAATTTTGTAAAAGATATGAAAACATCTATTACATGTATCTATAGAAGTAGGCATTACATACATCTGCATATATATAGATATATATTACATATATCTATTAATTACATCTGTATTATATGTCTGTGCATATATCTATAATCTATTGAGTATATAATCATACATAATCAGTTTTTCTTCCATCTATAAATGTTTTTCTAGTTATTTTGCATTTTAATTTTATTTGCTCTTTTTATTTCCAGAAGTTTTATATTTTTATGTTGCCTGATCTTTTTCTTTTCATTTGGTTTCCCTAATTATCTTTGTGTTTAGAAGATCCTTTCCCATCCTGAGATGTGACAGAGACTCATTCACTTTTTTCTTTTGTTTTTAATGGTTTTGTTTACACTTAACTAATCCATGTGGAATTTATATATGTAACTGTCTTTTCTTTCATCCCTTCCCAAAGTTAGGTTATTGTCCCAGTACTATCAATTGAATACTTCTTTTCTCTACTGATTTTTTTAATGCTATATTTTTAGTTAGTAAATAATTACATTAGAGTCTTTTAAAAGTGATCAGCTTTTAGAGTCAGATAGATCTGGATTTGAATTTCAGCTTAGTATTTTATTAACAGCAACATTCATTAATTTTTTCCTAAGTTTCAGTCTTTTATCTATAAAATGGACTTAATAAAGCCTAGCTGTTAGAGTTTTTATATGGGGTGAAAGTAGTGTGCATACCTAGTCTAATGCCTGGCCCAGACTAAGCAAGAAACAAATGCTGGAACTTACTTCCTGTCCCTTCCCACTGTTCATATGCCAGTGCCATTTTTTTTTTAATATTATTGAGTTTATTGGTACTTTTAAAGTATACAGTGCAGTTAAATTTGTCATGTGCCAATGTTGTTTTAAAGACTATAGTTTTGTAGTACTTTTGATGTCTTAAATTTTAAGAAGTTGACACCTTTTTGAAGGGTTCATAAGTAATGCATACATTCTATTTCTGTTGCATACATTTTTTTTCTTTTTTCTTTTCTTCTTTTTTTTTTTTTTGTACCAGGGATTGAACTCGGGTCCTTGCGCTTACAAGGCAGGCCACCAAACTGCTGAGCTAAATCCCCGGCCCTTCTTTCTTCTTTTTTGGTACCAGGAATCAAACTCAGGGCCTCACACTTGCCAGGCAGGTGTTGTACTGCTGAGCTACATCCCTAGCCCTGTCACATACAATTTGGAGATGTGATGATGCTAAGGAAATTTGTTTTTGCTTCTTATAAATGAGGCATGTGTGTGTGTGTGTGTGTGTGTGTGTGTGTATGTGCTTGTGAATGTTTAAAGAAATATACATTGGATTTGGAAATTTGGAAACCCACAATCACAGCTGGCAGGTTGATCTCTCAGCAGCAGCTGGATCTAGGTTGGCCTCGGTGAGTGGAAGTCCATGTTGCTGAGCCCATGCTGAACTTTCATTTCTGCCACCATTGCTGCTATGTTTATGAACCCACTGAATGATGCTGTTAGGCTGGCTGGGGGAGAGGAAGGTACTTGTATCTATAGTCCTCTTGTCTTTTGGGTCATCCTGTCTTCTTAACTATTAAAATCCTCCTTTGTGGAGGGAATTATCCTTTGGTGAGCATTTACGTGGGACTCAGGTATCTTCATCTTTTCTTTTGTCCATTCAGAGAAATTTGTCTATATCACTTCTATACCTGATTTCCTTGTCACCAATTTTCCAATTATGTTTCTTCCAAGTCCCAGGCCATCTAGTCAAATCATTGGGCATAGTCCATTAATTGGTATATAATTGCATATTTGACCATTTCTCTTTCCAGGTGAAAGGAATATCCAAATCTGCTGCCCATTCTACCTACTAAGAGGATTTTCCTTAACCTCTTTTCCTTCAGGGTTGCCCTGGAGAGCAGCTATAGTGATATAACTGTCCTCTTTCAAGTGGTACCTATAACCCAGGCCCGGGTATGCTCTTTATCTGTCACCTGATCTTAGGGAATTCTGTGAAGCCAGTAGATGCCAGTGGGAGAGAGGAGGCAGTGTCATGGGAGTGTGCACCATGGTCCTTTGGGCCACTTCTTCATGTGCTTGTACCCCCTGGCCCTGCTTACCTGATTACATGTCACCATTTCTGTTTGATGATAGAATGCTGCTGGCAATCTGATTCTTTAAATTAGAGAGTCATCATGTATCCGTTTCCTGATGGGCAAATCAGGGCACATGGTAACTTGGCCCATGGGTGAGCAGTTTCTAAAGTCCAGTACCAAGCCAAGAGCCTGGCTTGGCATTGGGATAGCAAAGAGGATGGCAAAGCATTTGAGATGGCAACAGTATCCTTATTTGTCACTGATACCTCAAGCATCATTGTATCTGCTCGATCACATGCCACAATGGCAGAGCAGTTTGTGGTTATACTTGTTGCAG